TTACATCGGCTACAAACACAAGCCATATAGTAAAGGTGAATAATTTAATATACCATTTAAGAACTCTGCTTATTCTGACGTTAACCAGAATCGTGTTTAATATTATTTACCTGAAGGAATAGTTTGAATTCCTAGTGTTTCATCTTTATCGCCAACTGCTACCACAATGCCAACGGTAAAATTGGTCTCCTCAACTGGCAACCAGTAATAGATTGAAGGTATCTCCACAACTGTTACACCTTCATTTACCTGCCCACCTTTAGCCAGAAAACGTTTTGATGAAATACTCTTCTGTCCAGATCCACCACTTATAAAACGGAAAAAAAAGGCAACAGCCACATGAAAATACTTTATGTCCAGATATCTATTTAAGAGTTAGACGATTAATTAGTCCAAATAACAACAATGAAGTAACTGTTATAAATTAATTTGTTATACCTCCCAACTCAAATACGTTTTCCGATTGGAGCAGAACGTGTCACGTGCCGTTGGTCAAAACCCACTAACTCCCTAAGGCGAACAAAACTCTCCAACTCCCTAAGGAAACAATAACTTGAACTTTGACTCGCACGTGATCAGGTCGTGCATGCTTCTTGAAACCGCGGCAAATTTGTTGAGCCTGCCGGGGTCAACCAAACGATTTTTCGAAGGTTTTTTTCGATTTTTAAGTTGGGAGTCGGGGAGCATTGAGGATCTCGAGGAAACAAAACTCACTGTTTCCCTTGGGGCCAGTCCTTAAGTGCTTATTATCGCATTTTAATCCCTGAAAAGAATCTTGCATCCCAAGTAGGAAAGATCTTCTCATCAAATGTCTACTTGGAAATCAATTTATGGTATTAAAATTGAGGAACGTCATCACTTTCAGCCTTCTGTTTTTATTCCTGCCGACGCAGGCTGCTAGGCAGCATATATTTCCAATAGATGAATCTTCTATCATAATAGGTTAAAAAGAGATGCAAAATCTTACCTTTTGATCGATTCAAATACGGAATAAAACTCCGGTTCAGGTTCTAGTGACGTGATGTCCATAAAAATCGGGTCGCCGAAGGCATTAGAAGGGGCTGGCAGAAGGGGATGCATCATGGTCCTTCCGGAGCTGTCTGCCATGAAAGCATAACTTGATTGGCCCTTCTGAAAGTAGGTGATTTCAGAAAGAAGGTCCGCCATACTTATGTCTGTGCCAACAACGCCAATGAATTTGCCTTGGTGATAACAAGGCAGTGTTATGGATGTTACCAGACCTGTTGGCAAAAAGCGGATGTTAACAGACTTCTTGAAATAATATGAATGGACGAGGCAGCTAACTATCGTTAAACATGGTAAAATTACCGCTTGAAAGGAAAAAGATAGTTTTTGAAACAAGTAAGTTTGCAGCATATAAATCCCAAGAATTGCATCCACCCTTTGGTTTTGAGCAAGGTCTTATCACCACGTTATAAATATACGTTATTGAGAGTCAGGTCTTGGTTTTGATGGATGTGTTTTCAGTCCAGCATGGATAAATTCCCAAGTGGTGTTTTAATATAATTATCATTAAATATTAGCTAACATTTCTTCAACCAGGCTGGCCATAAGATAGTAAGACTTTAAGGGAATACTTAGTTCCCTTGGAATGATCACAAAATATAATCCCTGATCATTTCAAAGCCAATACAAAATTCCTCCGTTCATTTGGTAACTTAGGTTATAAACCTGTCAGTGTTGCATTACGATGTCACATCCTTTGGTGCCTTACCTATTCCAAAGGCGTCAACGTAAGGAATGGATATGATTGGCTCATTACGAACGGTGTTTGTTGAGAAGAAGTCGTAGTATGTTGCCATGTCCCTTCGTAAGTTATTCGCGTTTGAAACATAGGTGAATTTTCCAGCCTTTAATAATGATAATAAAATAATAAATAACTTTATTTAATTGTCAAATGTATTTAGCAAACGTTTTACTGGTTGGGGACCCTGTTGATAAATAAATAAGTAAATAAATAAATAAGTAAATAAATAAATAAATGAATAAATAAATAAATGAATAAATAAATAAATGAATAAATAAATAGACAAATCTATCATATAGACGATAAACTATTAAGAATGCCAACTGGTGGGAGGCTGACTTGACTATTTACGCAACGCGGTCGAGGAGTTGGACAATCCTGATAGTGGTAGGGTGAAGATTTGAACCAGGGACCGCAAGATTTCAAAACTCCAGCGCCCTAAACCACTCAGCTAGGTCGCCTCTCCAAAGAGGAAATAAAGATTTCATCGCAAATGTTTAACCCAAGCCCTCTAGTTGCGTTTAAAATGGTTCGGTGCAATCGCTACTAAGGAAAATTTTGACCCAATTTAACAGACAACTTAAATTCAGTTTAGTAATCAGATATTTGTCTTATTGCCTATCATACATGAATTCCAGCTCTTGTATTAATATATTGAGTAGAAACATGACTATCTCGCATTTCTGTTACAGTACTTACAGTGACGTCAGAAGCTTTTGAAACACCGTAATTACTCCCATCCTGTTTGGCAATATCTTGTAGGATTTGCAAGTCCTGTAGCATGCCGTATGTCATTATTACGACTGCATTGTTCAGCTCTGCGTTCTTCGTTTTTATGGTCTGCATGATTTTACTTGCTCCGTCGTTTGGTTCACCATCTGTTAGAAAAATAATGACTTTTTTCCTGGAAGGACCTTTTCCAGGAGATGAGCCCTTCAGTAAGTCGAAGGCCAGAGTAAATGCTTTGGAATACTCCGTACCTCCTGTTGAAAGAAAATAACGAGATGGGACCGTTATTGGTCATCCGAATACAATTAGGGTTTCCAAATAGTTTCACAAACGGTCTTCTTCACAATGGTTTGGTGAAGGTTTTTAAGGGTTGTCGAAATTCAGTTATCCCTCTCATCAAGTTGTTTGAAACAGTGCACGTAATCTTTCCCTTTTCATCGTTAACGTTTCGATATCCAGCAACGAACGTGAAACATTCTCTGGTCAAGGTGGATATTAGAAGCAACAGGTGCATATTAGAAGCAACACGAGAAGCGCGAAATAAGAATCTAGAGAAGTCGACCACGCAAAACTCTGGATAAAGAAATGTAGATTAAAAATTGAGATACATCGAAGTCATGTTATCACTGGAAATCTTTTACTTGAGTGAATTCTTTTCTTATTTACTTGAACCTGTTGTTACGAGCGAANGGTAACGTTTTGATACTCAGCAAAGCACTTGAAACATTCCCTGATAAAGTTGCATATTATAAGTAACACGAGAAACGCGAAATAAGAATCTAGAGAAGTCGACCATGCAAAACTCTGGATAATAAAGACATGTAGATTAAAAATTGAGATACATCGAAGTCATGTTTTCACTGGAAATTTTTTTCCTTGAATGAATTCCTTTTTCATTCACTTGAACCTGTTGTTGCGAGCGAATAGTTAATCATAAAAAATCCGTACCTCTTGCAGAAAGTGTATCTACGAAATCCTTTAAGTATTTTATGTTAATCGGTGTGGCGTCCGCCAAACGTTCGCTGTGACAGTCTCTCCCATCATTGTTGTATCCAGTTGGTGTTTCGGCCTCGCTGCTGAATTTCACCAATCCAATCTGTCAAAAAAAATGAATCACATATGAAATAAATCAGCCACCCAATTGATCAGTCAGTGAGTCAGTGAGTCAGTGAGTCAGTCAGTCAATCAGTCAGTCAGTCA